ATCCTCAGCCCATAGAATATCTAGCATAGACTACTTTACACTAGCGTGTTCAAAGGAAGTCCCTTCTCATCCATCGAACTATGAGACTTGAGTCAGATCCTTCTGAAGAGCCAGCTTGTCGTCTTAGCTGTACACTTCCTTCCAAAGCTTAACATCGTCATTGGAAGGCATTTGATCAGAAAATAATTGCCAAAGGTCATTTATATACATCAAAATGAGGAGTGGTCCTGGTATTCGATCTTGACAGCAAGTCCTCAATTGGCTAATGTGTGGGCACCACACTTAACAGTGTGGTCATGATTGAAGTTACCCTTTCAGTGCAGCAGAGTGTGCCATTTCCGAATCAAGAGAAGTATTCTTGTTTAGGTGGCGCGATTCTTGGTTCACTTAGGTTCACTTTTAAGTGTTCAGGTTAAAGCATCCATAGTTGTAGAAATCGAAAACACGACAGTCCTCATTCTCTCATTCTGAATAAGCCTTTTTGAAAAGTCTGGCAACCAATCATTAAAGAGGTATGGAAGTGGATAATATCTGTTCTCTCCACGCTTTTTATTGCTCCAGATGGTTCATTAGTGGGATGGTCAGCTGCGACCAGCTATTATACCTGATTCTTGTATCAAATGGTCTGCCTAGATGTATGTGAATTTCAGCATCCATTGGCACGAAATACCTGAATGTTAGTAGACGCCATTTGGAAGAAATGAAACTTTTCCTCAATACTCGCAGTCTAGGATCGCAGTCCTTCTCAGCTAGCCGCTAAACTTGGTGAGTCAATATATTCTTGCGCTATGATTATTGCTTCATGAACTTCACTCCTGAATATCATTGACTGCATTATCAGCGTTCGCATTTTCCTGCACATGTTGCATAATCAGTTTTCTTTCGCGAAAGAATGACTTTCAAGATCCATTCGAGGTGTCCTAGATGAGAATGCGCTACGGAAATAACATATATTCGACAATTTCCTTATATACTCTTCAAACTCAAGCAACAAGGCTGGTGAGCGGGAACCCTTCACATCAGCATTGCTAGGAAACTTTACTCGGAGCCTTGGACGTATTCAATTTGGTTTTATTCCACTGGTTAAGCCGTATAACCTTGATTGGTTTAACTTGGTTAAGTTCGAGCTTTCTGTTTAACTGTTCTCAGAGCATTTAGCCTTTTTGATAGTGCATAGTGAGAAAAAGTCAGAATGATTTTTGAGGCTGGTGATGGTCAAGGTCATGAAATTTCACTAGATTACGATTTTCTGGGTACGCTGTGTGTGAGCTGCTTTTCATATGATCTATGTGTCTCAGTCCGGTTTCTCGTATTTTTTGGCGACATGTTGGATAGTCTTATGAGTAAATTGTGCAACCCATTTAAATAGACACTTGAAATGTATTCTCATGGTGGAAAATCACTAGACGATGGTACTTAGTTTACGAAAACGATATTAAAGTTCCATTTTAAAACTTATTAGGAGTGAAAGCCTTGTCTCCGTAAACTGAATGCTTATCCATCTGATGTTCGACCAGCATTCATGACGGTGGGGCGATAACCTCAATCTACCCATGTCTGTGTGGCAGAACATTTTGTTTGCTTACGGCTCCTTACGATATAGCAGGATGTAACAAATCAGTGATATTGATGTTACGTTTCCTAGTTAACCTCGTCTACAACCCATGTCTGTAACCTTGCGCTGGTTTTTACTTCCTACCGAGAAATCCTATTACAAGCTGGTCTGGACAACTATACTAAAAAAGAGCTCATCCATAACTTCTTGAGCCTCAGATTTAAAAATAAAAAGAATAAATAAAACCAAAAAATTATATCACTGATCCTCTTTATTATATTTTGTAACTCAACTTTATTACTAACAACTTGGTTCTTCTGAATTTCCTCTATTCTTTCAACTAACTTCTCATTAGTTATCTCACTACTGAATTGTCTTCATTAACCTACATAAGCGCAGATGTAAAGTGTTCTGATATTAAAAATGTTTGGGTAAACATACCTTTGTTTTATCCGTAAACGTATGTGCGAAGCCGTTGTTCGGCTTTGAACATGAATATTTTCTGTTCTGCTCCTCGTCCCGTTTTCTTTATTCCTCTTTTTTCAGAACCTTATTCCAATCCACATATATTTGTCTGGATATTTGCAGTAGACTTGGTTACCCTAGCCAAGAACATGTGAAATCATTAGCTGACGAATATCAACCAGAATTTTGTACATTTACCGCATCAATTCTTGTTATATGAAAACCTGTCTGTACCATGAATCATTTCTCAGCCCATAAGATGATTGTCGTAACGCAACCTTCGTAACTTGCGCCAATTGATCGCTTTGTACATTCCAACTTTAAGAAAGCAATGAATCTTATGAAATGTTTCAGTAACATTATACCGTTTTCAGAAAAAATATGTTGCTAATCTTAACATTTTGATCTTGCCTGTAAATTGGCATGTCTCTCGTAACATGTTTGTTATTTGAGAATAAATTATTATTATTATTATTATTATTATTATTATTATTATTATTATTATTATTATCAGAAGTACAGGCCACGGAAAATACGCATTTCAAACAAAAGGAATCGATATCTCAAGTTCATTCTCAAGCGTCAGACTTTTTTCAGTCACATTGTGGAATTAGAGCCTCCTTGATTGGCATAATATGCAGATAGGAGTCTGAAATTAGAGACGTGCGTATGAAGAATGAATCGACACAAAAGATAATGATCATCATGGTAAAGTTTTGATGTGTGAAACATACACCTAACAGTTTAAGAAGCATGCTGAGTTTATTTGTTGTCTGGTAAACTAGTCTAGCATCGCTAGCTATTTGGTTGATGCAACGGATATAAAGCACTTTAAAAATTAAATATTGACATACTACTGACCCAATTTTTACCCTTAATACTCTTCAACTTTCTTGCTAAGATATGCCCATCTTCGCCACTACATCCTAAATGCTTATAGTTTGTCTGAAAATCCGTGCCTTATCCTCCATAACTATTAACTGTATTGTATTGATGCATATTCACTAGTTCATAAGTTGTGACAGCCAGACAAATTTTTGAAAAGAAATTGCAGAAATAATATTTGTCAACAGGATGTGAAACATGGAACCTCTGGTCGAACATAAAATACTATCTAACAATTATTTAAAATGAGCCTGATAACACAAAGGGAAGAAGGGTGGAGTTATTGACAATTAGACGTTGTTGGTGCGGTGAAGACGTCAATGAACACATGTTTGTGAGGCAGAACATTTTATTTGCTTTCGGCTCTTTTCGATTGATGAGGCGACTAACAAGTGATACTTAGGTCGCTCTTATGCGTTTGTTACTTCTGAGACTCATGTTTCTAAAACTATGCTGAGGTCACTATTCTGCCAAGGCAACCCGCATTATGCATACTCAGGCACTTAGATGTTGGTATTTGATAAGGAAAAGTTAGAGAGGGAAAAATATTATTGTCAATGCTTTCTTACAGACTTTGCTCATCTTACTGAACTTTCTATTTCAACGTACAGATATCCAGCTTCTTACTTCAACTCCTATTATATTCACTTGTCACACTCCGAACCCCTCCTTCTTCATTGCTGTACTTCTTCATTATTGGGCAATATTACTACAGTTTACTTTGATTTTAGTGGTTATTATGAATTTTATCTTACCGCTGCATTGTCTACTTCACAATGGAACTTTAAGCAGTCTTTTTGTTATATATATATATATATACAGTTGCCTCGTTGCAAAGTTTTTTCCCACTCTCTTGTCCCTCCTCAGACCCCTGTCCGTAATGGAACGTCCATAGTGTTCCTGTCAGTAACATGTTGTAAATGTGCTATCAGAAACAGACTCTTATTCTCAATCTAACTGCAAAAACTTTTGCGGTAAATGTGGTAGCTTTTTGCAACAATTTGGTGTAGTCTGTAAACCGGCATGCCTCTTGTAATATACAGTTATTTGAGAATAGATATTTCATTGACATTGAAAGTTCAGTCAGTTAGCTTTGAGTAGAATGTAGTCCTACCTGAATCTCAGTAGACTTTCACATTCTGAAGGTTGGTTTCCTTGGACATACTGTTATTAGGAGGGAAGTTAACTGTAATTCAGATCATTGTTCAGAAAATCTGAACTATTTATTAGGTCGTGGGGAAATGGATGTCTACTGCTTTACTCACCTAGTCTGAGTTATTACTCAGACTTCATACACCAAATTGAGTTTTTCTCATAGCTGCCGGGTGATGTCAAAACTGCTGCTCCTGAATCCTTCTCGATTCAAAATAGAATAATCGCTATAAGACACAGTATCCTGAATAATTCTGGAAACCCTATCCAACAAATTTTGAACGTTCGTCCCAACACTTTACTGGAAACATAGGCTCGAAGCAAAACTTCAATGAACCTGAGATTCCCTAAGTGGAAACTTGTTAAGTATTGAAGAGCGCACAACTATATCTTATATCTTCCTAAATTTCCTCATGCCTAATAAATCAAGATCGTTAGTTGAATAAATTCGTGATCTGCTGCCGTTAAAGCCAGAAGCTGCCCAAAAAAAGCTTCATAAATTCCGATTTAAAGAATTCGAAACATTTATGTATTATGTTACTGTTTTGTTTGTATTTCCCATTAATCTGTTCATTTTCTTCGAAAATCAGGGATAATTCACTCCATTTTAGAGATAAATAAATTTTTGTGAGCTTCCATTTTTCTCATGTTCTTTCAAACTAATAGATGTGTACCTTCGGAAGCGCTTGTTTTGGATTCCGCGAGTACATCTTTCCCCAAGGTCTCTTCAAGGTCTTTTCTGAATGTTCTCTTCACTCAAATTATTGGACGTAAAATCCTGAGCAAAATGTTTATAAAATTTCCCTGTGTAAAACCTTACTCTAGAATCCGCTTATTTTTTTAAAACACATAATAGAATTGATATATACATGCAATTGTATGTAATAATTTAAATATGCTTTAATATTCGCCACAAAAAGCTTATTCCCAAAGTTTTATGTGTCATCTCAACTTATCTGTACCTTTTAATAATATTTATACAACTTATATTCCGTTGCACTGATGTGTAAATTTGTTTGAACCATAAATGGACATAACCGTCAACGTTCCTCCTGATTCAACTAACGATAAACTCGAAAATGTGATTTCCAAAACCCTTGAGAAAACGTGCACTGACTCCCATAATAATAATAATTCACTTCCAACGTCATCCACTACTTTTAAACCACATATATATCAAGGAGTTTATCTACCTGATGACGATGGATCTATTCTTACTCCGGAACATGCCTTTGTACAGTATCAAACCCGGTCTGAAGATCAAGCTTGTCAAATTTGTGGTCAGCCAGCTGTTGGATTCCACCACCGTGCATACGTTTGCGAAGCCTGCAAGGTAATTATTTTTGTTTTGTTTGAGTAAATCTCGTTATGCCTTAGTAATTCTCTAACGTGCATCTTTTACCTTTATTTTGGTTGATATAATACATGATGTTTGATAAAAAAAAGTTTATTTCATAAATTAGTTTGATGTTAGCTACTGAAGGTTGTAGTAACACTGTATCGTATTACAGATTTCAATTAAAATAGAATTACAGCAGATTTATTGAAATCCAAGCATCCTTCATTTATTTGTCTCACACTCTTAGTAATTATTCACTAAATGCTTAAGGTGTTTCTTTCCAACCTAGTATATAAAGTTAAACAATGAAAATTGAAACTATTGTTCTTACGATTACCATGATACTAGGTGGAATGTGTTAGTTCGACATATGTTGGCTTGGTGAATTGTTAAGCAACTAATTTAAATCCAGCATACGCCTCAAAACTGTAGATTCGCCACGTCCCTGAATTTACCTCTTCATGTGTGTTTACTTCTAGTGTTGCGTTTTTTTTTGACTACTCTGTAGCAAACTACTTATTTTATCATACCTCTCTACCGAGCTACTTTTTAAAAAATTAGATGTTCCAACCCTTTTTCTTACCCAGTAAACTTATCATTGTATTTTTATAAATCCATTCTTTCATTGTCCTATACTGATCCCTCCCATGTTATAATAAAATAATTGATCATAGCAATCTACCTTCACTTACTAAACCGGTAGAGCTTTTCTATAACTAGTACTGCATGTTCAAAAAGTAATGGTCACGGTCAATAAATCTTTCTCTTATTACTAACACTCATTATTACTTTTCGAGTATACTACTTAAAATATTATCGCAGTATTTTGTTTTTTAGAATGTCGATGTCTAAATATTATATAGCAACAAGTCCTTAGTGCTGTTCGTTATCACAAACAAACAAACAAATGTTGCACCTGTATGCTTCTTTAGTAATCAAAAACAAACTCTTATGATGCTTCATACACTAAAATACTCAGTTCATAAATCCATGCTGTTATCTATTTTCAGTTCTACTATCATCATTTGACATGAAATTTCTCAAACTTTAAGGTATTTGATATCATCTAATTTGTGTATAGTTGTGATAGTACATGATTGATCTGTAAAGCTTTGACGTCATGCATTTTTTGAGTTATACAATAATATTTTCTACTAAATGACTTCAATAAAATATACTACTTCTACTACTACTATACTGAGCAAATACTGTCAAACTAAAGTTGCATTCATTTTATACTTTTCTCAGCAAACCTAACCAGTTGTTGTAACTTGTATGACCCAGAATAAATGTTGTTTTTGGGTTAGAATTTTATGACATTTATAGACGTTTTAGAATGAAAAAAACAAAATGAAATGCATTGTTTAGAAAGTTGAAACTTAATCTGTTGACTTTCTCTTAATCGACATTGTCTATATTTCTAAATAGAGTATTGTTGTTTCTGAAAAACAGGTTTATTATTTTCGTTAATACTGAAAAAAAAAAAGTAGAAGGAAGCTTTAGGGATCATTTTTTTTACTCTTGTTTTCGCATATTTTTAAACTTTCATATGTTTTAAAATAAAACGTGGGCGATCGGCAACGTGTTTTTTCTTTTATTGTGGTATGAAAGTCGAACCAGTGAATGTTCTTTTCATTTATGTTTTTTAAAGTTACCACTAGATTGACTCTAATGTGTATTTTATTTTTAAAAATCACTTCTCCTAGGTGGTATGGTGGTTACATTGTAGTTCGTTAAAACTCTTTGAACATGTTCTTGATAACCGATGTTTCTAGCTAATACGTAGACAGCTTTTTCTCATCACATGATTAAGGCGGTTAACTTCTTGTAAAATAGATATTTTATATCAGGTAAAATCTCTGAAAACTAGTCACGTATATTTTGTGATAAATTGTATTCTGGATAGTTAAGTGGGAGTATCTGGGAGAATTAATAATCTTTTATCCTACCTACCTTTTAAAATACACCTATGTTCTAAACTCCTTGCCTCTACCACATTAACTCTTACTTACTTACTTACTTACGCCTCTTACCCAAAATGGAGCATAGGCCGCCCACCAGTTTTCTCCAACCAACTCTGTCCTGGGCTTCCCTTTCTAGTTCTGTCCATTTTCCTCATGTCTGTTTCCATTTATCGGCATTTCTCTCTTTTCCTTTGCCTCTGAGGGTTCCAAGTTAGGGCTTGTCTTGTGATGCAGTTGGGTGTTTTTCTCAGTGTGTGTCCTTTTTCACTAACTCTAGTTTACACTAAGTTTTAAAATTTTGCGATATTTTTTTTGTCCAATTGAAGTTTGAGGGATTCCATTTTTCCTTAATTTGTTAGTATTTGTTTATCATACTACCTTTCTAAACGTTGATCAAGCCTAGCGAAGTTTTAGATGATTAAAATCTAAATGCGACAAATGATCTTGACATTAAAATTAGTTGACTTTTGATTATTTTTTTTCAGATGATAGGAGCAAGCATACACTAGTCAGTCACCTACCTCAATTTATTTATTTAAATACGTAAGCATTGGTACAAAAGGCCAATTCAATGTTTATACCTCACAAAAAAATACTGAATTTGTGAGTGAACTCGAACTCTCTTAGATCCAAAAGGCTAAACTATTGAACAGTGGATCAACGTCAGTGGATGCAATCTTATGGTGGCCGGTGACCAACAACAGATTCATACACCACTCGTTCGGTCATAATTCTGGAGCCCATGTGCACCATTGGCTTCAAATGAAGGTTTTCCAACTGTCCCTAGTAAATTCTCTGTATCCAGTAACCTGGTGTATACGCTAGCCGGATTATTCGCTTTGTGTCCTCTTAATTTCATGAATAACATAGCCACAAAAAGGAAGTGAGCAGTTCCCTGGTAGTAGCTATATGCACATGTCTATATGAGAATATTTAGAAAAGGGAAGTGGTGGACTCTCTCTCTACTCTGCAAGGCGTTTTGGGGCCACTCGTTTGCTTTCATAAATTCTATCTAACAATCATGATTCAATACTTATAAAACAGTGATTAAAACATAGTTTTGACAATAAATTTTTTAAGAAAAAAATATAAATTGTATTTGATTATCGATCACTACAGATAATAAAACTAACTTTTGTTTTAAATTGTAAAATGATTCATGTTTATTTGAATCAATCAATATCCAAATTAAATAATGCATCATAGCAGTGGTAGGACTAGTGGTAGTAGTAGTAGTAGAGATTTTAGGCGACATGGCTCAAAATCATTCTTAAATAGCACAGATATATTCACTCTGTTTCTGGCTTTAAATCTGAAATTTCTCAATCTTCCATCACTGAATCGACTCTCCATTAAAATCATCAATCAATCATTATTAGACTGCCGTTAGAAACCTAGAAGCACTGGATGGCTTTTTCGTCCTGGTATGGGACTCATACGTGACAGTGTGCATCCATAACTCCTGCGCTACTCATAGGGATCGAACTCAGGACGTTCATGCTTGCACGCGAACGCCTAACCCTCCGGACCACTGAGTCGGCATCCGATGATGTCAATGTCTAACTCTGATCAATCTAGGGATTTTGCGTGACCTCACCCATTTGTCTTTTCGGTATTTACTGCCTACATCCGACTGGGTTGAACTCCACTGGTCACGTCTTCTCACTAGAACTCCGAGAATTTCCTCACGAAGCTAGTACTCCCTAGTGAGCACATTGACTCCTATTAAAAACCAGGTAGACCTACGGAATTTTTTCATCTTATTATGGGACTCTCCAACGATGTGCATCTTTAACCTTACTTACTTGGTATTGTTATCGAAACTTTCAGTTTTTTCACATCGAACACTTAAATCCTAAAACCTAATAAGTACTTACTTAGTAGTTACAATTTAAACTTCAATCAATTTACAAGATTACACAACAACTATCCAACGTAATTGATTGTAACTGTTTCACTCTCAACTTCTTTAAACTACTAGATCAGTCACAAATAATAATACTGGACAATTGTCGAGTTATATTCGCCAGTTGATTGAAGTAAAGATCGTACGTATTATTAGGTGCTGCTAACTCCTTGATCTTCATTGTTAAGTGTCTTTGCTGTGTGAACTGAAAGTAACTGGATACTCAATACTAAAAAGTTTCATACTAAAGCGGTACAATTGTCTAATACCCTTTAGTTTTCAGAGATATACATCACTCTTGGATTTCAACTGACAGTTGCGTCTCTGTGCTGACGTAGTATGGCAACCTGAACTGATGTACTTATGTACGAAGTTCTGCGTTGTATCTGTCTGTCTGATATACATCAAATAAGCTATATCAATCAATCTGTGACAAATACCAACCTACAATTCAAATCAATATCGTCATTTGTTCTAGTTCATTTTCTTCTTGTTTTGTTTTGTTTTTTTCTAAAAAGAAACTAAATTGATCCAAACTGAATGGAGAAAAAAAAGAAATCACAACTCACCATGAAATCATCTTCTTCGTTTTAACTAGCATTTCTATTGTTCAATGTCTAAGTTCAAATTGAATCCATGATTTATTTTCAATGTGTATTTTAGTTACTTGTTCAATGATTACGATTATTATTATTATTATTGTTATACTGCTGTGAAATGTTTGATGTACCAATAACAACAAAAATGAAGCAACAGTATACAGTTTTTACACAAGTAGTTTTATTTGTTAAAAACTATTTTTTTTTAAAAAACAAACGAACGAAAGCTGGTCAAGAAGAGAAGAGCAAAAAAACTAATTATTCAAATAATGAATGAATCAATCTTAGTTAGATCAATACCATTAAAAACTGGCGAAGCACTGGAACACTGCCGTCTCGTCCTGTCTGATATGGGACTTCTCATCAGTGCGCATCTATGAATTGATTTATTCAAAAGATATGTGTAACATTATATATATTTTTTATGATTAAGTGAAATAGGTTTCTGTTGTTTCAGTCAGTCAGTTACAACGTAGAACTTCGTACGTGCGAACATAAGTTCATGTTGCCATACCACATTAGCGC